GATTGGATAGTAATGTGCTAAGGTAGTGATAGAAACATTATTGATGGTAGACCCTACAGTAGCCTTTTGCACTATGGTTTCTCAAAAATTATAATTCTTTGCATAATCCAGATCACTGTTTTTCCTTAAATGTTTAGTATGCTTTGTGTTTCCATCTTTTAAGTCACCTGCACTTTTATACTGAAGTGTGTAAGCAAACAGACATTCATGAAACATTTCAATGATTACTTCTTGCTTGTATATTACTAAAAATTAGAAACACAATAGCAATGGAAAAAGAAAATCACCAACATCCACATTTAGTAAGGTGCGTTTCAGAAACTTACAGGCCAATGTTAGCTCCATACAAATTTATTTCTTAGTATATGGATTATATGTTTTCGAAATATATTTTCCTAAATATCTAGATCTTGGTTTTCTGTTTACTTCCAAGTTAAAACAAAGAACTACCACATCAACCTTTGCCAAGCTAGTGTCCTCCCAATATGACTGCAACCTCTACTACCCCAGTAAGCATGCCTATGACCATGCTTACTGGGGATGCTGGAACCTGTGGTCTGACATACCCAGAGGGTGCCAGGTTGGGAAAGTCTGTACTATATCTTGTGAATCAATGCTATAGTAACATCTTGATACACACCAAGTTAAAAGAACATACATTGATTTCTTTAAGTTGGTGCATTTGCTTTTACAATTCCATGCTTTGTTTATAAGGCTTCTGACACTAGATGCCTGCAATAACCACAGAGTAAACATATAGTGACTCTATGCTACTATGGTCACTAAGCACGCCTTCAACAAACATTCTACAAAGCAGTAAAATGCAAAAGCTCCCACTTATAAAAGAGCTAAGCAAGAGGAAGAAGTGGTACAAGAAAGTTACACTGACAATTTTTGAAGACACTGATCATAAGGTAAAAGTGAAAAGGCCGACATATATTCATTATTAAATATAGTACTTTGATCTTTTAAATGTCTGACTAAGAACAAGTGCTTCACACTAGCCACTAGAAGATCATTTTAACTCTTTAATATTTAACCCCCCCCCCCTTTTTGGCAATGGCCACATCACACATATTATCTTATCACCAATATGGTTCAGATTTGGCAGCATAGCAGAATCCTAAAAACTGTTTTTGATGTTTTTCAGCAGTGTGTTATTGTTTGCATGTCATACAAAGAAAATTTTCATTGCAGCTGGCATGCTAACAACTGTTTAATAGTGAGAGTATATTAAAACATAAATCAACAGCGCCACTTAAGGAGTTATGACAAAATCTGACCTATAATAAACAACTGGTTGCAAAGTACAAATGGCTTGTCAGTCAGTCCTTTGGTAAACAGACACATTTTAAGAGGATTCCTAGAATTTTTTAGCATGGGTTTTTCCTAGTCTCAGGTTGTTTTCAAGGGTGTGGAGACCTAGCAAACACTACCCTGACTGATGTTTAAAAATATTCCCTAACATTTTTCATTCCCATTATCTTGCCCTCAAGCAGCTCCAATTCATCAAAATCCAGCCACTTCACAAAATTGTGCACATGTTAAACACCACTCCTACAGCTACAAATATAATTTCCCCACTGCCCTCACCAAAAGCACTTCTCAGAGGGGGGGGCAGGGGGGTAGCTAACTGACAATCACCCTTCTAATACTTCTTTCTTCCAGCACTCTTCACTGCTCTCATACCAGCATTTCACTTTATCACCTATGACAACTGAACATGCATACTTTCTTCCATTCCAATCATAACTTAAGAACTTGATCAGCTGTAAAACACCAAAGTGCACAGTGCTTCAAAACTGTATTGCCAAGTTGCTATAGCCGTCCTTATTCTCTTGGGATGCAGTGGGAGGAATCTTGATTAGCACATCATTTTGTTCTGGAAATTAAAACCTGAATCAAAACAAGCAACGACGCCCAAGGAGCCACCATCCCCCTCATCGCCAAGTCCCAGACCCGCAGGGCGATCTCCCACATCGTACCGCTGCCACTATCTTTTTCAGTACGACAGGAGATGTGCGTGTACCGCATCCACAAGTGACATTCGAAACATTCGACCGTGTGAAGCGGCGCAGGACCCATCCTCCCCACCCCTTTGGAATAATTCGATCTCTTCTTTCCTTTCGTACCTGGTGAGACTGTAACACTGGGGTCAAGGTACCAAGCTACCTCCGCTTCAGCCTCTTACCACGCCATCCTCTCCCGCGAAGCTCGGCCCCCTAAGTCCCGCGATGGCCGCGGCCGCTACAGTGTCTCGGCTCGGCTCTCCACCGAGGAGAACTCGGATGTGCCCTCCCCTCCCTCTCCTTCCCCCCATCCGCCCGCCCTGCCAGCTCCGACCCCTCCCATGCCACCGCCCGGCGGGCCTCCTGGCGGCTCCCACCACTCCCCCTCGCCGGCTCCCAATGCCTCCCGAACGCGTGCGCGCCCCGGAATTCCCCTCCACGCCCGGCCAGACGACGCCCCCGGAGCCACGCCAGATCGCGCTCCTCACCGACCTCACTGGAGCGCTCCTCAGCTCGACGCCCGTCTCCGTCGCCCGCGCCGCCACCGCCTTCGTCGCAGCCACCACCGCTGTCCCCGCTCGGCCCCACTCTCCATCCAGCCTCCGCCAGCAGTCCGCGATTGACGCGGCCTGCCACCAACCGTCGCCTTCGCCAGCCAAGCCACTGGGCCAATCGGCGCGTGGGGAGGCGGGCCAAACGAGCTAGCTGAGGGCCCCGAGAGTCCTGGTAGCCAATCGGAGGCCGAGGCCGGTGGCTGGTGAGGAGGGTGTGTGCGTGTGTCTCGAGAAAAGACTGAAAATCCCTTTTGTTCGCGGCGCTTGAGGTAGACAGAGCCGAGCTGTGATTGAGACGTCACTTCCGGGGAAAGGTTTCGGCGAAGATGCAACTTGAGTGCTTCTGATGCTCGTCGGAATGTAAACTTAGAGATTTTGGAAGCCTCCGTCACTTATAAAAGGAATCAAATGTAGTGGGTTGTTGTATACGAAAACTCATTTTGCAACATATTCGTTAGTTTTATAAGAGATTCAAATTTTACTTATATTGTTATTCCTGTAATTTTTCTGCGCACGTATATAGAGGGAGAATCGCGTGTAATTCAACTCCAGCTTTAGCGTATAGGTGGAAGGACATATTGCACAAATGTGAATTTCATATATAAGGGGTTTTTTTTTCGCGGGTGGGGGGTTATTTTGCTTCGTTGCGGAGTATGTTGCCCAAATGCAAACAGTCTTTCAGTCTCGATTATCTTTGCCGTTTCTCCTCTGCAGACAATTGCTGCTCTGTCAAAGCACGGCTCTCAGCCCCTTCCCCATATCCCCCCTGGGTATATGTTTCTGTCTTCCCTTGGCCTCTGACATTTAGTTTATAAAGTTGTTTTGCACTTTGTGATTCTCGTGGTTGAGAAGCAAAGCTTGAGACGGGAACTTAAAAGAATGAAATTCATTGCATCTTCAAAAGTCAGCCTCATTATTTTCCTATTTAATGACTAGTTTTATTGATTGTTCAACGCCAATACAATTTAAGACCAAGCATAAAAGCATAAGAAGGGAAAAATAAGAGATGACTTCCTATTGGCTTTCAGAGTGCCAGATGTCCATTATTCTTGTGCTACTGACATTTGATGTGCTCCTTTTGATTAATGAGGCAAATGGAAAGTTGATCCCCTGGGCTCACAAGCAGCATCCATACCCCCTTGTCCTTTGTCTTCAGTAGCATTTCCTACCCTGTGCCCCTTTCAATGCTTGGATTGTAATTCTCAGCATTCATATCTAGAATGGCCAGTGGCTGAGGAAATTGTTGCAATCCATCTGGAATAATCCAGATTGGGGAGGGTTGTTCTGAAAGATCCAATCCTTGCTAGGCTCCAACAGCAAATAAAGGAAACACAGTGCCCCAAGAAATGAGTGTTCTTTTCTCTGTGGAGCAGTGGTGGCAAATTGTAATCCCATAGAACTACAACTGGGAGAGCCAGTGACATCCCCTCCCCAGCCTTCTCCAGGGCACATTTTATATTGTATTTTTGGATTTTTGATGTTTATATTTATTGTAATTTATATTATAATTACTTTTATTTATTGTTGTAAGCCGCCCCAAGGCTTCGGCGAATGGGGCGGCATAAAAATGTTTTAAATAAATAAATAAATAAATGTCAGGGGCTGCTGGATGTTGTCTTGGCTAAGGTTTCTTTGCTTATGGAGCCTCTGCAGGGCAACTGAAATGACCCCAGCTAAGGTGGCACCCAGAGGAGCATTCCAGTCTCAGCCAGGAGCCAATATGTCCACACCTCACCATTGCCATTGATAGATAGATAAAATTTACAGTCAAATAAATCTTACAGTCAAAGGTCAGCTCAATGCAAATAAATGAATAGATTTCTGAAAGGAAGAAAATACAAGTCTCCAGGAGGTGGTATAAGGGGAGGAGTGGGATTGAGGCCCACAGAAGGAGTCCCTGCAATGGTAAGTAGAACAGGTGAATGGTTGTCAGGCTCTCCTGTGCCTTCAGGGCCAGACTTGTGCCTTGAACAATGTTCAGATAGACAGCAGGGTGGCAGCTGTGGAGTCCTTTTGTGGTTCTGGAGCACAATGTGGCAGGCCGCAGCTGTGGTGCAAACTGTCATGAGTATGGGAATGTGGCTGAGAGCACCAGGAGCAGAAAGGAGCTTCCTGGTCTCTGTGTCCTGCAGGTATGCAGGCTGGTCTGTGTCATCAGCACAAGAGCATGGTGGCTGTAATAATGCCAGTGCAGCAGTGGGCCATGGGGGGAAGACGTCGCTGTTTGAGAATGTTTTGTGTATGTGACACCTAGGTACTCAAAGGGGCCGTTGTTCTCACAAGCTGTACATGTGCATGGAGATCATGAGGAGAGGCTGTGCTCTGGATTGTTCCTTCCTACCATCTGATGTGAGGAGGAAAGCAGCATTTTCATGGTGGTGCTCTTCTTACAGAATGTGCTCCCTAAGGAGGCTTGCCTGATGTCTACTTTGTTCTTTTTTCAACAAAAGGAAAAGAGCTTTTTATGCACCTAAGCTTTTAAAGTTCTGAATTTAAGTTGTTCTAAGTGTTGGCTTTTGTTGTATGTTTGTTTTTACTCTGATATTGTTATGTTTTATCATACTATTCAGTTTGTTGTGTTTTATTTTGCTTTAATTTGGAACCCACTTAGGAAAGCATTTTTGCCTGACGGGTTATATAAGAATGTTCCAGATAAATAAGTAAATAATGACCTAAGTGTTCTTCCTGTTCTGCTTGTGATGGTCTTGGGATGGAATGACCTTAGATACTCCCATGAATATATGGAAAAGGGATGCAAACAATGGCCATTCGGAATTCCCAGGCTGCAGTTCTAATCTTATAGACTAGGAAGCAGCCCCACTGGGTTCAACAAGACTTAATTCTGAGTAAACATACAAGGAACAATCATGTGGCAGGTAATGTTACAAGCCAACTAAAACATACGCCTGCAAATCTGTCAAAGCAGTGACCTACAGGCAAACTACTTTGGAGCAAAACCTGCTGTTCTCCGAACTAGATAAATACTGAGGGAACTTGGAGTGAAAGGCTAGGGGATGACTTGCACAAAAGCATTGTTTGTGCAAGTTGTCTTATTGTCTGTGCATGATTACCCAGAAGCAGAAAAATCTCATAAGTTTGCTTCTGTAATCTGAAAATGTGCACATTTATATTTCCACGGAAGAATGAGCTCATTGTTCACAAATTACAACATTCTGAACTAGTAGAACACTTGCATAAGCAGTGTTTTCATGGAAGCCAGCCTCTGACATCTCATTGGAACAAGATCTTTGTCACCAAATAAGTCACAGCTGTACTGGTATGTACAGTGAGTTGTTTGGTACCATGCTGCTGCCTGTAGACAGCTGCTGCCTGTAGATTTCTTCAGGAATATGCAGAGCCTTGTATGTGCATGCCGATTTTCTGACAAGTTTCCTACATCATGAATTATTCTGATAAGAAAGTATTTACAATATATGGAGCAGGAGCTTGTTGCACAGTAAGCCCAACCTATTTCAGTTGCTACCATTCTTTACTGTAAATGGAAATTGTGTTTCATGCTTAATGATTAAAGCCAATGCTCAGTGATATTGCTAATGCTTTGACTGTAAAAGGTCCCAAGCCCCATTCCCTCCAGGAAGAGCTAGGAAAGACATCTGGCTCAAATTATAGAGAGTTGCTATAGATCAGGGTGGGCAACCTTTTTACATTCAGTCAGTGTTATTGAACTGATCAACAGAGTTTACAATAAAACTTATGCAACAGCTAGAATACTAAGTAAAAATGCAAGACCATCATTAATAGAAGTAAAGTCTTAAAGAGTCCTAAAAGATTAAATAACTGGTAAAATAAAACAGAACCAGACAGACCAGAGGTTGTAATAATATTGCAGTTGATATTCTCCTTGGTCTCAGCAGAAATTTAACTACAATTCCATATAACAAACTCTTGTATGAGAGAGTGGACAAAAGACATAATCAGATGATATTCCTGGATACTGAGAAATTAATGGATTAACTAGCTTATTATGAAGATCTTTATAAAAGTGACAGAAAGAAAGTCATGGCTTACAGTTTCACTTTCTTCTGAATCACAAGAACATAATCTGTTAGAAAAAGGTATCCCCTGAATTTCCCTTCCAAGAAGGTGCTACATTAACATGTGCAAGAGTGAATGCCCTTCTGTACTTTTAAATATTTTTCCAGTGCTTTGCTTTTTGTCAGTTGTGGACAATATTCCATCATAGGTAATCTGTTGGGGGGCTATGTGTGGGTGATCAGTGGGGGAGCAACATGTGCTAGGCCAGGCCACAGCCAAAAGTCACTATTTTTTCTCGTTGCCACTCCCTTTTTGTTTCCCTCTTCCTTCCCATGCAGCTGGCTGTTTAGAAGAGAGAGACAGATCTCTTTTGTCCAAGGTCCAAATTGATTACATGCACAGGGCTTTTGGAAATAGACTCAGTGACATAACTGGGATAGATCATGGATGTGGCCTTCCAGATATTGTTGCACTGAAATTTCTGCTAATCCTTACCATTGTCTATGCTAGCCAAGGCTGATAGAAATGAGAGCCAGTGTGGCGTAGTGGTTAAGAGCATGGGACTGGGAGTCAGAGAATCTGGGTTCCAGTCCTCGCACAGCCATGGAGCCAACTGGGTGACTTTGGACCGTTCACAGACTCTCAGCCCAACCTACTTCACAGGGTTGTTGTTGGGATAAGATGGAGGAGGAGAGATGATGTAAGCTGCCTTGAGTCCTTTGTAGGAAAAAGGCAGGATATATATATATATATATATATATATATATATAAAATTACAGTCCAGCAGCATCTGAAGGGCCACTCAGTGATTTCAGTTGAAAGAAAAGATGCATAAAATGTCATGTTAATGACATCACTGTCAGACATGATGCAATGTTATCACTGTACAGCACTGAACTGAAGTACAGGCAGGGCATCTGTTGATAAAATTGCTGACATATGTGACTGTTGTACAAAAGCAGAAATGAGATTTCAAATGGGCATCCATGTCATGTACAGTTTCCTTCTGTCTGCCCAAGAAGTCTGACCTGATGCCATAAAAGAAGGCAAGAAGGCCAGCCTTACCAGATAGATGAATGTAGCATGTGAAAAAGCAGATACAAAAGTGCCCTGATCGCTAACTATAAATGTATGCCATAACTGAAAATACCTGGAAGCGAGTAAACGTAGCAAAAA